AAACAGAAACTCCTGTTCCGCGCGGAGTTTCTGTTTCCTGTAACCGGCCGGACTGACAGGAAGTGCACACTCAGTGTGCACCTTCCTATCACTCCGGCAGGCCACCGCGGACCGGAGTGCAGCTCGGCCACGCTACAAGGGAGAAGCTGCAGCCGCCTGAGGCTCTTCACAGAGAGCTCAGGCGAGTGCAGTATTTAAAGGGCCGGCCCGCCGCGGCCGGTCTTACAGGAATTTAGGGCGGCCTGGGGGGCAATTGCCTCCCTGCCCCCCGGCCCAGCCCGCCCCTGCCAGCGGCCGACAGCAGACCCAGGTGTCTGCCCGGCCCCAGGTGCCGACGGCCCACCGGGAAATTTCCCGGTATCCCGGTGGGCCAGTCCGGCCCTGGCTTTGAATACAGTTTCAAGAAAGTTACAGGTGACTTACTGTGCTATTCACATTATAAAAATGCATATATAAGGTTATCAACAAAGCTTGAAAACAATAGCTCATTCGTCTTTACATCGATGAGGTATGTTCAACCTATCAGAATGGATGGACGTTTGCATGCAGTATAACAACGATTTAGAATGCCTCAGTTCTGCATTTGACATAAATGTGGCTCATTGTAATCATTCTATAATTGCTTCATTTCATACTGCATTTGGGAGCTTGATATTTTTATGAGAAAGACCCTTTTTCATGTTGGAACTTGGCGTGGTCCCCCTAGTTTTATAGTAAATATATTCTCATTATTATATACTGTATATACTCGAGTATAAGTTGACCCAAATATAAGTCGAGACCCCTAATTTTACCCCCAAAAACTGGGAAAACTTATTGATTCGAGTATAAGACTAGGGTGGGAAATGCAGCAGCTACTGGTAAATTTCTAAATAAAATTATATCCCCCCAAAATTATATTAATTGAATATTTATTTACTGTGTGTGTATATAATGAATGCAGTGTGTGTGTGTGTATATAATGCAGTGTGTTTGTATGAATGCGGTGTGTGTATGAGTGCAGTGTGTGTGTATGAATGCAGTGTGTGTATGAATGCAGTGTGTGTGTATGAATGCAGTATGTGTATGAATGCAGTGTGTGTGTGTGTATATAATGCAGTGTGTTTCTAAGAATGCAGTGTGTGTGTGTATGAGTGCAGTGTGTGTGTGTGTATGAATGCAGTGTATATGTGTATGAATGCAGTGTGTGTGTGTGATGCAGAGTGTGTTTGTGTGTGATGCAGAGCCTTCGTGGGGTGTGGGCATTTTTATAAAAATTTTTAATTATTATTATTTTTTTTATATTTTTTTATATTATGAATATTTTATTTTTATTTTATTATTATTTACATTTTTATTTATTTAGATTTTTTTCATCCCCCTTCCCTGCTTGTTAGCTGGCCAGGGAGGAGGGCTCTCATTCTCTGGTGGTCCAGTGTAGGAGGGGCTGTGTAGGAGGGGGGCTGGCAGAGAGCTGTAACTTACCTTTCCTGCAGCTCCTGTCAGCTCCCTTCTGCTCCGGTCCGGTCAGCTCCCCTGTCAGCTCCACTGTAAATCTCGCGGTCTAAGTGCCACACGGAGCGTTGCCATGGTAACCCGTGGTAACGCTCTGACCCCGCAGCTCTCACAAGACTTACAGTGGAGCTGACAGGGGAGCTGACCGGAACGCAGGAGAAGGGAGCTGACAGGAGATGCAGGAAAGGTAAGTTACAGCTCGCTGCCAGCCTCCAACAGGACCGCCGGGCTTGTAATGAGCCCGACGGTCCTGGTCTGTATTATGGCAATGTAAGTTGCCATAATACAGACATTGACTCGCGTATAAGACGAGTGGGGGTTTTTCAGCACAAAAAATGTGCTGAAAAACTCATCTTATACTCGAGTATATACGGTATGTCTGGTGCTGTTGCTCAGGTGTTTTCTTGCTGCTCATAATGGTCTTGGATCCTGAAATACTGCATTGAATTGCCACGTAATGGTATGTTGCAACTATTCAATAAAGCCTGGGCCAATACTGGAACCTATCTGATAGGTGACAAGCAGACATGCATTCACTGTAAATATAATATGGCTGGTATTGAATAATGGGATTAGGCTTGTTTAGTATTTGTTAAAACCTTGGAATATATGTATGTCTGTTATAATCAGGAAAATAATGATAGATACATAGAAATAGATAGACAGATAGATAGATAGATAGATAGATAGATAGACAGACAGACGGATGGACGGACAGACAGGTAGATAGATAGATAGATAGATAGATAGACAGACAGTGGGGGTTATGTATAAACATTGTTGCATTCACTTTAAAGTTTCCACCTGTTCTGTGCCATGTATGCAATGTGACATTTTCTGTTGTATCAAACTGTAATTATATATTTTTAAATTGAAGACTTGTTTTCCTCCTTTCCTGTTATGTTCCACAAAAATCAAATTGTGCCGCATTTCTTATTTTATTGATTTTCTCACATCTCCTGGCTGGTATATTTATTCCGCACTCTCGAGTCCTCTGCTAGAGGCCTAGGATTCTGAGGGTTCTGCACAGTATCTTAGCTGTTCCTAGAACTGCACTCTTCTGAACAGTGATCTCAGATGTCCCACCTGGAATATGTTGAAGCCACTCCCTCAGCTTAGGAGTCACAGGCTAGACAAGCCTAGACCAGCTTAGACCAGCCTTGAACCTAGACCTGCTTGAATATACATATTCATATATACATATATATATATATATATATATATATATATATTTATATATATATATATATAAAACCTTACACTCCAATAAGAAATTTATTTGTACTACCCGGTGCTCTACTACAAAATCAATACAGTTTCAAAATAGATAAGCACTCCAGGAATCTTCTATATTATAGAAGATTCCTGGAGTGCTTACCTATTTTGGAACTACGGTGTATATATATATATATTTAGGTCTGTAGGTGTACTTCTATAGATCACTGCAATTATGGAATATCCTCAGGGACACAGTCAAATCTTCATTCAAATATATTTATATAAAACAAGAGGGGGTTGGCTGCACTCACCTTAACATGCATATAACCCCCTCTTGTTTTATATAAATATATTTGGGAGTCTAGCCAACTCCTTGGTTTTGCACCCCTCCCTGTCACAGGTGCCTCATCCCAGGGCCCTATTTAGCCTTGTACTGCAGAGAGCCCCAGATGGATTTTTTTTCCCCAAGTAGGTTAATCTCATAAGAGCAGACATTAGGCTGTTAGTGTAGGACCTGCCAAAGATGGGGTACATTGACGTTGTGGCAGGCTTATGCAATGTATGATCATATAATGTAACTAAACCCCCATTATTTTTGCCTAGATTAGGTGTTTTTAAAAAACAAATAAAATCTTTCAACATTGAAGTTGCTGTTTAGTGGATAGGTGAGTGCGCTGGATCTTGTGTATTGTATTATTTGGCCCCCAGCAGCACCCCCATTTATGCATGTTAAGGTGAGTGCAGCCAACCCCCTCTTGTTTTATATAAATATATATATTTATATTTATATTTATATATGTGTGTATGTGCATCTATTTATACCATATAACAAAATAGAAAATATGAACTGTCGGTTGTGGTGTGCCGAAACCGAAGATGCAGTAGGCCTGTAATAACAGAGTGCCCACCCTGAGTTAATTATTGTTAGTAAAGGGAGTGGTGGGAGGGGTAAATCACCAGACCAACAACAGTAATGAGGAGAAGTCTGGCGATCCTTAAGTATGGCAATTATGCCCCTCCAACAACTATAGGCCTAGCCCTCCATTTGTGTTTAGGGCATAGAAAGCTGTAATGACAGTATATAACTTATATAACTTATACCATATAACAAAATAGAAAATATGAACAGTCAGTTTTGGTGTGCCGAAACCGACGATGAGGTAAGCCTGTAATAAAAGAGGGCAAAAAGAGTATACCATACAAGATTTATTTCAGCCTACAATTTGACAATCATATAGCATATATCACATGTTCATGTTACAAAAAGCTTCATGTATTTCCTGTATTGGTTGGGGTATGTCTCTGGTATATGCCGATGAATTCCATCATCCCAATGTCTTGATAATATGTACCGGTATGTTTCTGCTGTGGTGGAGTTTGCATGCCAATTTAGGTCTTTCAGCCTTTTAGTAGATAGCTCTCTAATACCGTGGGAATTAGGGAGTTATCTACTAAGCGGCTGCAAGATGCAGCCGGGGATCGGAGTTTGCATGCCACAGTCCAGGTGTTAGTCCCCTTGAAACAACTTTTCCATCACTATTGTGGCCAGAAAGAGTCCCTGTGTGTTTTAAAATTCGCCTGCCTATTGAAGTCTATGGCGGTTCGCCCGGTTCGCAGGTTCGCATCCCATCTTCATAATTACATATTTGGAATCAGCACACTTAAAACATAAACATAACCAAAAATCAGCCAAATACATCCAGGGGTTAAAAGGTTAGCTGGAGGTCCCTTTATGACTGACTGCAAGCACATTATCCTGCCCAAAACAGTTCCATAGATTTGGGCTGTGAGGTCGGTCTATTTCAGGCTGAAAAAACGACTAAGTCCCATCGCCGAATGAGACTTAGTCTCTGCAGCTGTAAAACCAGTAGGGTAGAAGGTAGAGCTCAGCGGTGTTCGCGGAAATGTGTAGCCGATTTTAGTTCCATGAATTTGGCTACACATACCGCTGACCTCGTCGAATGATCAAAGATGGCCGCCGCCACGTGTTCGGCAAACGAACAAAGACCTCCCAGCATTGTCAATTAAGCTGCGGTTAACCGCAGCTTCTGGGAGGTAAATTGCCTGCACACTTCCACTTCTGGGTGGTCTGCCTGTGTGGTACTTGGTTCAGTAAGCCCCATTTACTGAACCAAGTGGGAATTAGCCAGGCAGGCACAAAGGGTTTGCACCAGGTCTGGGGACACAGGGGACACCGTCTTAAAGAGGCAGTGTCCCCAACAAGTCTGGGGACACGGCCTTAAAGGGGCAGTGTCCCAATCTTCCTGATGTCCCAAAAAAGGTGTTTAAAGGGCCAGCACCAGTCACATAAAGAGTCCATAAGCACCAATATGCCCACCGACAGTCTTAAAGGGCCATACACACCAAATAAAAGTGCATACATTTTCACAATCTCCCAGGGGCCATAGTCATGCGGGAGGAGGCTGGCAAGTAGGCTTCTCCACAACCCAGGGAAGCAGGGCAATTTGCCATTTAAAGGGCCCGTTACAAATAGCAGTTTGTAACAAGGTGTCAATCCATATCTGCCAAGTGACCCGATGTAGGGGGAACAGTCCCTATTCTGCTCTGTGTCAGTGTGTATCATGGTCTCTGAGGACAGGTGTCAATCCATATCTGCCAAGTGACCCTATGGGGGTAGTCCCTATTCTGATCTGTGTCAGTGTGTATCAGGGATCCCTAGGACAGGTGTCAATCCATATCTGCCAAGTGACCCTATGTAGGGGTACCAGTCCCTATTCTGCTATGTGTCAGTGTGTATCAGGGAACCTTAGGACAGGTGTCAATCCATATCTGCCAAGTGACCCTATGTTGGGGTAACAGTCCCTATTCTGCTCTGTGTCAGTGTGTATCAGGGATCCTTAGGACAGGTGTCAATCCATATCTGCCAAGTGACCCTATGTAGGGGGACCAGTCTCTATTCTGCTCTGTGTCCGTGTGCATCAGGGGCTCTGAGGACAGGTGTCAATCCATATGTCAAGGTGTCAATATGTCATATGTCAGGTGTCAATCCATATTCATTGTGATTTAGGAATGTTAGGTGATTTCTGCCCTTTATGGATTAAAACCAGACTCTGTATCAACTGTGTAATTTTCCCATGGGAGTTTTGCCATGGATCCTCCGGCATGCCACAGTCCAGGTGTTAGTCCCCTTGAAACAACTTTTCCATCACTATTGTGGCCAGAAGGAGTCCCTGTGTGTTTTAAAATTCGCCTGCCCATTGAAGTCAATGGCGGTTCGGGCGGTTCGCCGGTTCGCGAACATTTGCGGAAGTTCGCGTTCGGCGTTCGCGAACCGAAAATTTCGGGTTCGTGACATCACTAGTAGTAAACTCTCTGGGTCTGAGGAACCCATAGAAAGCTAAGTAGATAGTGGTTTTAATGACATGATTAGTGTGTTTAATTTAATAGTTTCCATTGAATAGTTATTTACAACCTGAAAGTCTAACAAGAATCTGTTTTAAACATGAAATGCCCTGTCAATTTCTAGTATTGTCAGACAAAGCTAATTGTGAAAGGAGTCTGCCATGAGTTAACAGATCTCCTAATCCAATGTCATGTCCTGCCGTGACGGAGCCGGGGTAGCCACCAGGGCTGCCATCGGTAAAGCTTTGTGTAATTCCTGAAATTTTTGAGCGAGACAAATGATCAGTTGCTACATTCTGAATTCCAGGAATATGCACACATACCAAGAAGAAATTATAGTTAGCCGCCAGCCAAGTCAATTTCCTCACAAAGTACTCCCCTACGGCCTCTAGAGGCCAGCAGCCTATCAAGCATATACATACAGTTATACGAATGTCTGCATGGATCCAAGGAATACCTATTACTATCATAAGGCATTCGGCTGTAATTATACGAACGGCCCCAAAGATGAACAAAGAGCCGAATAACAACCGAACAATCCATGTATAACCGAACACTATAACAGTCATTTAGTACGAATCATAAGTAACATTCATGCGTACAAACTAAAGGCCGAACGGGTGAATGTAACCTCACAAAAACCAATGTAAACAAACCGACAAGCAGTAAAATAATTAAACAAACTACCAAACCGTATGATCGTATGGAAGTTAATGAAAGACTACGAGACAGTTAGCGGTAGTGACCGGAGGAGAGGGGAAATATCCCAGAGGCCTTGGATGGCTGAAAAACTCAGACACTCTAAGAGCACGTAAGGTATGCACAAGGAGAGGTAAGCAAAATGGTGATCTGCTGCAGCCGAAGGTATGAAAATCACCAGGCCAACAACGCTAATGAGGAGGGGTCTGGCGATCCTTTAGTAGGGAAATCATGCCCCTCCCACAACTACAGGCCCAGCCTTCCATATATTGTTTGTATATTGTATTTTTTTGTAATATTGTACCCTATTGTAACATTGCAATGTTTTGTGGACCCAGGACATACTTGAAAATTAGAGAAATGTTAATGTATGCTTCCTGGTAAAATTAATAAATAAATTTACAGCAGAATATGTGAATGTTGCCATTGAGTATTTATTTTAAAACATCACTTACTTGTAATATGAGATGTTGTAGGCTGTCCTTATCCAGTAAGGCTTTCCATGAAGAGCATCTGTCACAGAATACATAACAGGCTGCATACCTAGATATAAACAAGAAGCACATTAATATTTTAATAAGCATAAATGAATACAAACTAACATCATATAATACTCAACCTCCATAAATAAACAGCCAGAAGGATAGACAGATAGACGGACAGAGGGACGGGCAGACGCGGTTTGCAGTAATACAAGTTAGAGATTATTATCATTGGAGATGGCATTTAAAAGAAGATAAACAAAATACAGACAATGAATGTCTGTCTATTAAATATTCATTAATATGATTATTACATGGAAAAAAAGAATCAATTTTAAGGCATATCCATTTATACAATGCAGTTTTACAAATTAATTCTCGAAAGCGTACTACTTTTAAGTCCCCATCATTCATAATTAATTAAAATAATTAGAAGTGATCATAAGTCTCCAATTTGCAGTAAACACAGAATGTACCTTCACTATTAATCTAATTAGCAGGAGGAAGAACAGACACTGTTTTTGCACTACAAATTGGCAGGAGAGGGACATGTTTTTCGTTTGAGTTTCAGAAAGCATTATTGCCTCATATTTAGGTCTACGGTAAACTTTTGGCTTTAATTTTATTCAAA